CTTTGTGATTCTTGCTTCTGGATTAAAAAAAGAATTCTTCCTAAGCCTGAGGTCATGAAGATAACTCTTGGACACTCAGTCGTGTGGGCTTTACAGCTTTCCTGTTCACAATTAGGTCTTCAATACCCAGGAATGCCTACACGGAATTTCTGATGTCTGGTGTGAGAAAATTAAGGGTCCAATTTAGTGCTTTCCCCATGTGCATATCCAATTGCCCTTGAACATTTTACTGGAAAGTCCATCCTCTTCCCACGATACGTAGGCCACCTCCGATACACTGCATGTGTCCACGTGTGGGGGCGATTTCCTGGTGCTCAGTCCTTTCCCACTGACCTGCTTTCTCTCCTGGCATGAGCCCCACACTGTCTTGCCACTGCTTTGCGAGAAGTACAGCTAGCTTGTAAAGCAAGTTTCCAACCTCTTCGTAAAGAATATTGCCAGTTCATGACCTTTTGTACTTCCTAACAGAATCAACTTGAGATTTCTGTTAAGATTTGGGGAACTTCCAGATGTAAGGAGAATCTTTTTAGGACTGAGTCTTTTAGTCAATGAAATGAAGGCATAATTCTCCATTTTGTCTTCTTCATTGTCTGTCTTTAAAGTCTTAACACTTTTCTGCATGGTTCTTCCATCTGTGTCGATACATAAGGTTCTTTTGCATCCTTGTATCTGTTTTTCCACTCTTACTTACACATGTCTGCATTTTTTGTAATAGAAGGAGGCAGCAGTACAGGGTCTCTATATACCTTTCATGAGCTTACCTGGATGTTATCTTCTTACAACCATGGTACACTGGCTGAAAACTAGACGGTTAACTCTAATACGATACTGTTACACTACAGCTTAAACTATTTGTGCAGTTTAACTACTAACTGTCCTTTTTCTGTTCCAAGATCCCTCATCACATTCATTCAGCAGGTCTCCTTAATCTCCTCTGATCCCCTCTCCAGCTTTTCAGTATAGTTTTTCATGACCTTGACACTTCTGAAGAATACTGGTCAGGTGTCTGTTGTTCGGTTTGGGTTTAATATGTTCTCAGGATTAGAATAGAGAATGGCTCTGAGGCAAAGTGCTTTCTCATTGTTTCATGTCAGCGAGGTCTATCCGTGGTGATGTTAACCTTGATACAGGTGAGTAAGGTGCTGTCAGTCAGGTTCCTCCACTAGAACTACTGATTTCCCCTCTCTATAGTCTAGTCACTAGGCGTGAGTCACTAGTCCATCCTACATTCAAGGAGTGGGGGGATTCAGCTCTGCTTCCTGTAGGACAGTATCAAGGAAATTTGTGAGTAGAAGTTAAAACCACTGCAGCAATTAAAACCTATTTTGGGGAAATTAGTTTGAATTTCACCTTAAGGTCTCACCCACTAATTTCAGCACTCATCCATGCATTTTTCTTACAACAAGCATTACTATGGTATATTTCAGTTTTCCTCTTTCCTCTGCACGTACTTGGAATTCTTCTGTGAGGAAGACTTTCCCCTCCTTTCTGATTACTTATAAGCACAGATTCAGGGATATGTATTTTTTGAGCTATAATCCAATACTATTTTGTTGCTCAAATGGTGCATGCATGTGTCCTTTTGTCATGCCCCATTCTCTTTAGGTAATTTTTTTTTAACTTGGCATTTTCTTCTTTTCTAGACAATAGTTCCAGTTCATCTCATGGTCTCCCTGTGCTAGCCCTAGGACTGCCCGTTCATCTAGCGTGCCCTGGATCCTTTCATTGAAATAGTATTTAGAAAACATGATCTGGGCACTGGGTGTGCTCTGTAGTGGGAGGGTGTCACTGTTTGTGTCCTGTCTGTGGTCCGAGCTAGGAAGTTCATATGTAACCTGAGCAGGTGCATGTGTCCATATTTCTGTGCCTGTCAGAATCTACATGAAGCCAATCCTGAGTTTATACTGACGTTTCTGACCACAGATTCCCCATTGCTCCCCACCACACAAGCCCTGGCTCACATTCTCTAATATTCTTACTCATTTATACATCCCTACTGTATAGGCAGCACTCCTGTGTCAAACAAACTTGCCTGTAAGAACATAGTGGTTTTTGCCTGTTTTTTATTGTGTGCAGTCAAACATTGTTTTTTAAAAGCAACTTAGACCAGCTCCTTTCTCCCTTCTCCTTTCAGTGCTGGGCCATGCATTTATATATTTGTAATACAAGTAAAATCCACTCTGCATGGTTTGCTATCTGTCCTGTGCTAATCAGGCATCCAGGTTGACTTTACTTGCATACAGGAAACTTCACTTTATGATGTAGAGTTCGTGGGCTTTGACAAATGTCTCACGTCACATATCCACCACCACAATATCAGACAAGTTTCACAATCCTAAAAACACTCTGAGGTAAGCCTTCTGAAGTGCTCTTCCTCTCCTAACCCCTAGTAATCATTGACTTGTCTTCTGGTCCCCGTAGTATGCTTTTTCTAGAATGTCGTAGAAATTGAATCATATGATATGTAGGCTTTTGCATGTGGCTGCCTTTATTGCTTAGAAAAATGCACTTGAGAGTCATTCATGATGCACGGATTAGCTCATTAGTAGCTCATTTCTTTTGATTGCTGAGTGGTGCGGATGGAACACACCACACTGTATTGATCACTTGCTGAAGGTCATCGCTATTTTTTCTAGCTTTGGTAACCATGAGAGTGAAACTGTTACACAAACTGAAGACCAGGCTTTTGTGAACATACACACAGCTCGTGGGGTTGGGTATCTGTGGGAGGGATCACTCTGTCACATGTAGTTACGTTTATGAGAAACTAGCAAACTTTTCCAAAGTGGCTGTGTCCCGTCAACATGTGAGTTCCAGTTGGTCTGTTTCTCTCTGAGTGCTTCATGGTGGCGGGTTCCGATGTATCTTATTTTAGCCACTTTCATGAGGTATAGCAGCACCTCATTGTGGTTTTCATTTGTTTTTGAATAATGCTACTGGTGTTGGTTGGTCATCATTTCAGGTGCTTATTTGTAATCCATTTTAAAATTGCGTGGTTCACTTTATTACTGTCAAACCATGAGCATTCTTTACCTTCTGGGGACAAGTCCTTGACTCAGTAAGTGATGTGCAAATATTTGCTGCAAATCTGGCTTCTCTTTTTATTCCATTAACAGCGTCTTTCGCAGAGCAAAAGCTTGTAATTGTAATGAAGTTCAGTGTTAATTCTTTTCCTCTTATGGGTTGAGCTTTTGATATTTATTTCAAAACTCACTGCCAAGTCCAAGGTTTTCTCCTGGGTTTTCTTCAAAATTCTATAACTTCATATTTTACCTTAGACTTCTGAAAAATAAGACCACACATAGCGCCTTCTGAGTTTTCATTTTTGACCGTCTCTCACATTAGGCATAAATGCTAAGTGTGTTACTTTCCACATGTGTACACATACACGCGCCTTCACTCATTCGTGTGAGGAATAAATTTAAGAGACAGTTGCATGAGCTGTGGGAAAATCTTCCTTTTTCATTAAGCAAAAGGTGTATCACTATAAAAACATTGTCTATGATAAATCGTAATTAGGTTTTAACATAATTAGGGTTAAAAGGCCAACAAAAGGTTATGATTACTAATACAGTAAAATTTCCTGCAAAGTGACAAGCAAAACGAGTAAAGAAAATGAGCATGCAGTTCTGCAAGAAGGAACCCAAGAGCCACCATGCCCATAAAAGGCACCGGTGCAAATGAACACCCATAGCAGAGTCTCGGTTTTTCATTCAGGCTAGGTGAGCCCTGTGAAGGGTGCTGACAGTTAGTTCAGGAATGGACGTGGGAGAGTTGGGGTGGAGGGAACATTTGCTACAACTTAGTGGGAAACCAATCCAACAACATCCACTAAATTACCAAAGATGTGCTCTCTTAACCTGCTCCAATGTCAGCCTTTAACAGTACACACAGGTGTTGTATTATTGTCTGACTGGCTTAAAACTAACAGATCCTGAATGTCCATCAAACATGGGATGAATAAATTAATTGTGGTAGAGTTAAGCTATGGCCTAGATCCTGTTGTACAACTATTGAAATGATCATTAGATCCACATCTATTCACCTGGAGAAAAATGAGATGAGCACACTGCAGAGTGACAGAAACAATGTGATAAGAACAGCACGGTCCCGTGTGTATAAAAGCAGTTCCCACTGCTTGTGCTGTGCTGATGCATGCAGTGGGGATGCAGCTAGGGACACGGCTGGCAGTCAACATGGATGACAATGGAAGAGAGTCATTGTGGATCTTTGCATTGTTCTACTTCTTAAGAGCACTTAGTTCTTTTGCAATTAACATTTTGGGTTTTGGGTTTTGTTGCTGTAGTTTTGGGGACCAGGGATTGCACTTGAGGTTTTGTGCTTGCAATGCAGGCACAATTACTATTTTGCACGGACAAAAATAAGTTGAGATCCAATGCTGTTAAGTTGGAAGTGAGTACAGTGTGAATACCGTCCTTGTCACTTAGAGGTCCTGGAATCGGAATCTGAAGCCAGCTATTGGAATGGTCCTCATGCCTTCCTCAGGGTGCAGGTGGTGGATGTGGCCTTGTGGCCAGAGGAAAGAACCATACTTGTGGCTCCTTGTGTCTCCTGGCCCGTTGCTTTGCCAGTGCATGAGTGTAACAGTGGGAGTCAGAGACCTTCCCCAGACCTGGGCCATTAACTGGTTTATTTTTGACCCACATGTTAGTGTGAAGCTGGCAAGAGACTCACAACCTAAGGTGGCAAGTCCTGAGCTCCTGAGCCCAGTCCTTTACCATTCATTCTTGGGCATTTGGGGTTTCAGGCATTTGGGACGATCCTAAACACCCACACCTATCCACCCCGGCCCAGTGTAGGCCTGGTGGCTGAGGTTGAAGTGAGATACCACCTGCACTCCTCACCTGGCCCTGGGAGCTCACAGGTCCGTCCCAGAGCAGTGCCAGGGTTCAGCTTTGGGGCCCCTTCATCATCAAGCCGCCAATGGAGGCCTAATGTGGTGTCCCCCACTAATGTGCTGTGTCACACGTTCTCTGCAGTGAGAAAGAGCCCCACGCTGCTGGAAGTGAGCACAGCTCACCTCCTGAGAACCAACAGCCTTGCCGAGGACCTGGATCTGGAAGGGGAGACGCTGCTGGCCCCCATCACCCACGTGTCACAGTGAGTACCAACTGGGCTGGAAGGGCATGGGGCTCCAAAGGTACCACCTTAGCACAGGGGAATCTCGAGATTTCAACAGGGTGCAGTCTGCTCGCCCCCGTGCACAGGCAGCAGGCACGAGAGGCACGGGCATTTCCCGCCGAGTCTGGGAACATGACCCTCTTGTTTTGAATACGGAAAACCAGACTGATCATTTCCACTTGTTTTCATGCTTTGAGTATCTGAGAAGATTGGTTTTCTCCCCTCGCCCCCTCCCCCTCTCCCCAAAAAGAGTCCACTTTGTTTTTGAGCATTTCCCCATGGAGCCCTGGCCAAAGCCACAGGGCAGATGCCGGGTGCTGTCTGCCAGTTGCCGCTGCTGTCCTCAGGGGCTCCTTCAGGTGGAGGAAATGGCTGATTTTCCATGCCTTCCAGTTGGCCTTCCCCCCGAGGCACAGCTGGCCTGGGACACATGCCCATCCTCCCCCGCCGTTATGGCATTAACGAGGCCAACCCCAGTGCCCAGCCATGGTGTGATTCCCCTGCGACGTGTGAGTCAGTGCTCCCAACCAAGGCACCCAGCGCCAGCAGCCCTGCAGTGGGGTCAGTGGGGCACCCGGGCACGCCGGCCACTGCCCCTGTGGGGACTCCCCCTGCGAAGTCCGTCAGGACGTGAGAGCCACGCTCCCAGCATTGGCAGGGGCCATTTGCTGTGCCTCCTCCTCTCACTGCCATTGCTCTGAAGGGTGTTCTGATCTGCAGACCCTCTGGGGGACCTGGGCACGGCTCATGTTCTGAGCCGTGTGTGCCTCTGTCATGGTGAGGTCCTGGACCTCCTACCTTTGCTGTTAGCCAGGTGTGGGTGTGGCCTCACAGGTGGCTGAGGGAACGGCACCCACAGTGCTGGGTGCTGCTCTTATAACCAGAGACTGGGAGAGTCAGGCAGCAAAAACAAGGCCGTCCCCAGGGGAGGACAGGCTGTCCTCAAAGTGTGACTCTCATCAAAGAGGCCGTGCTTACTATCTTCCAGAGTCACCCAGGCTCACGGGGAGATTGGCAGCGCTCTATGGTTAGCGGGTGTAGACAGAATGATCACGAGTTCAGAGGCAGGTCACTGAGAAGCAGGGGTGACTCCCCCTCCAGAGACAGCCTGTCAGGCTGGCTGGGTGGACAGGCAGGAGCAGAGGTGTGAGCTCGGGGCAGCTGGCAGGTACAGGTCGGCACAACAGGCAAAACAGTGGCTTACACTATGGTTACAGCTCGCAATCAAGTCCCGAGCGTGAAAGATTCTACAGAGAGGTAAACCCCAGAGTGTTGCGTGCGATATGGATGGAACTGTCTACCCAAGAGTAGAGACAACTGAAGGTGCAACGGGAACCACAACAGGCCCCACGGGGCCACTGAGTCCTGGGGGCTACTTAACCTGTCTCTTCTTGGCCACTCATGTCGTGTTGGAGCCCGTTTGCTTTGTTCCTGTGGCCACGAACCAGCCTCCAGACATGCACGAGTGGCACCCTGAGAGGACAGGGCTGTCACACCCCATCCATCCAGCTGGACAGTCAGCCTTTGCCAGTTCCTGGGCACTGGGAGCCCCTGCAGGGAAGCCCCGGAGAGAGTAGTGAACAACTGGGAACACACATGGCCCACAGCTGAGCCTGCAGCTGACCTGTAAGCCTGTAAGCTTCCCATGTTGGCGAGTACACCCCAATCCCCCTGGAGCCAGAGGCTGCCCATTTGTCCCGCCAGCGACCGCGAGCCAGTGTGGCTGCGTGGTCCAGGGCAGTAGGCCATTTCTCGTCTCCCTGCTGAGACAGTAGAACTTCAGAGGCCTGAGTAACACAAGCTTTCTGCCTGCCATGGGCCTAACATGTCACCAGCCAAACAGTTGCTAAAGCCCTTCTCAGGCTAGCACTCCTGGGGCCTCTTAGAGTAGAGCGATCTGGTCCTACCTACAGTGCTACCTGGGTCCAAGCAAAAAAAAGACCCCACTCCTACCTGGTCAGGTCCTCACCCTAGAACCTACAAGCAGAGCAGGCCCTTCCCAAAGCAGCAATCAGAACCAGCTTGGAAAGGAGCCCAGGGTGATGCTGGGTGAAGGATTTGAAGTGGAAGCTAAGAGTTCAGTAAAGCACTGTGATCTGGTCAGAGCAGAGTCAGAGCCAAGACAAGGACATCTGGGTACCTATGTCCTCAGGATCAGGTGCCATCTGTCTAAGAAGTCCTGGCAGGAGGGCTGGACACAGCACAGGAAAGTGTCTGGGTTCTAGGACTCTTAAGTGCTCCAGGGCCACAGGGGACACTGTGATGATACAGGGGCCCAATAGTTTACAGGGATGGGAAGCCAGGCCCTCAGGCCTACACGGAGGCTTCACTATTTCTCCTCCCAGACAGCCCACCTGGTGAGTGACGCCTGGAATTAAGTTAGACTTCAGTGACTCAGAGATGCCACACAGCTCCTATGGGCAAATGGGCCCCGTGTATCTGCAGTGGGAAGACAGGCACGTGTCCTGGGATTTGTGTGCAAGGCCAGGGATGTTCACAAGTGTCTTACAGGGGGCAGAATGGGTGGGAGGTGGTGGCTGAAATACAGATCTATTTTTCTTCAGTGTTTTACTGATGTTAAATGTATTACCATGCTGGGCCAGTTCCAGAATTCAAATTAAAAGCATAAATAAGGCCACATTTTGTTTCCATCTCAAGCTCTCCCCACCCGCAAGGCCCCAGGGAGGTGAGGTCACTGCAGCCCTGATTACAGGAAGGTCCCTGGGGCTGGGCAAAGCCCCTCTTTCTGGGGCCTGTTGGCCACTGGCGATATGGGGTGGAAGGGGCCAGCAAGCAGGCCTGGTGAAAAGTAGGGAGTCACCCAGGTTGCTGGGAAGACAAGGTGACCTTGCCCAGCTCTGGCAGCTGCCCATAACCCTCAATACCTTCCTGGCAGATACTATTTTCCTAGATCTACCAGGGCTAGAGGGAGCACTGTGGCCTCAAGCTCCAAGCCTGTGCCCTTTACCCAAAGCCTTGCCTCAGGGCTTCTGAGGGGCAAGTGGGAAGCTGAGACTAGAGAGGACTTTGTGTGCAGAACACGGGAGACCTCTAAGAAGGAAGGGGAGCCCTGCACCCCAACAACAGCCAGAATGAATTTCCAGAATCTTGTCCCACCTACTTTTCTCTGCTCTCTGAGGGTCACTAACAGGGGACTGCCTTTCTTATGTGTACCCCTGTATCTTGCCTGTGGTATCACAGCCATCTGGAACATCCTTGTCACTCATCTGGGGCCATCAGAATCCCACACACCTTTCCTGCTCAGCAGTCCCTACATTGGGGAAGCCCCCTGAACCTCCCGAGGCTCTGGAGGTCCTAAGTACCAGTTCCCAGAGCCCTCAGCTTGGGACTGGGAGGAAGCAGGGCTTCTATGGCCCCTGTGGGCCTCTTCCTCTCCAGCACTCCCAAAATTCCAGGCATGAAGGAGCCCCAGGATGGCCACTCCAACCCAATGCAGAGCACACCTCCTTAGCCTCACCCGAGGAGGTAAACAAGGGCTGCCGGTGCTGACACAGGGCACCTAGGAGTAACTCTAGCTCTCCTGGCATTCAGGTAGGGTGGCCTGAATGAGATGGTTTGGCCATTTTTCTGAAATCCTCCTTCACTCCCCAGTCCCAGCTGCTAAGCCAGCCAGGACTGGCTGGAACCCACATGTCTGCCCCATCAGATGTGCATGGATACCCAAGATAAACAGCTCCAGAGGCTTTGCCCACTATGCACCCAGCAGCCTGTAGCTCAGTCTGGCCCCACCATGCAGCTTCCCTGAAGAGTCCTTTTGTAAGAGTTGGTACTGATACCTCGTCTTTTCTGTTGTGACGTCTCAGACTGGCCATCCTTAGCTTAGTGGGATTAGACCCCCTAAACACAGTTTACCAAGATGGGTGTGGGGGAAGATTGGGGCCCTGAGGCTGGGCAGAAGGAGTGGCAATAAAGCAGAGGGAAAGCAAGAAACAGGCTAAGGCACTGCAGACCCCACCAGGTGACCGCGAGCACCTCTCTGGCGAGCATGTGCTTGCCTGGCCTCTTGCGACATGACAGCTTCGAAAATCCTTGAGCAAAACCAGCCCCATGTGCGTTAATTAGAGTTTCCATGTCTTCAACTTTCTCCTGGACCCTGCAGAATCTCACGCCAAGACATTCAGGTTTCTCTTTCCCAGTGAGGCCGCTGTGGCCTGGCTTTCATCCACATCACTACTAATGTCTCCCGAATTCTGCATTTGTCAGCGAGCCTGGGGCCATCCCGTGCCTTCTGAAAAAGGGGGCAAATGTCATAAGACTGGCCCTGCACTCACTCTGTGGACCAAGGGGCTAGCTCTTTTGATGGGACCAGCTTTGCCTGGGACATTGTGGGAATACCCAGGGCCTGCGGTGGCACCAGGGCACTACAACTCAGCACCTGTGTCCGCTGCTTGTTTTTTTTTTTTTTTACCCACAAATGTCATTGGGAAAGGCCTGAGAGGCTGTGCTGGGTCTAGTGTCGGGGACAGGGAAGAGGGCTTTCCAAAAGCAGATGAGACCAGTCTGTCTTTCCGTCCTGGTGTCCTGCCTTCTGTGAAGCTCCAGACCACCTCTGTCTACACAAGGTGCCAAGGGAGCCCCAAGGGAGCCCTCCCAGGAGGGTTGTGCAGCACTGCGTGAGTCAGCCGCCCCGGCCAGGCTCAAACCCGTCTCTGAAATGCATGGGGGTATTAAATGTTCTCCTAATTAAATTAAAAGCAAGGAAGAGTGGCTCAGTGGGAAAGAGATGGGACTGGGAATCGGATGCCCTCAATCTGGCTCCCAGCCTGTACCAGCCCAGCTGCAGACAGTCCCCTGAGCCTTGTCACCTTCCTCCATCAGAGCACATGAAGAGGAAGCTTCCTGGACCACTACTCTAGGGCGGGGGCCACACTGTCTGGATGGACAGATTGCTACAAGAAAGCAGTAAGGCCTCTCATCCTTCGGCCAGGCTCTCTAAGGCTTCCCCACCATGCTGTGAC